CCGTACTTACTTACTTTTACTTGAGTAAAGAAGTTTAGTCAGTACTTCTACTTTTACCAGAGTATTTCTAAACACGAGTATCTGTACTTCTACTTGAGTAAAGGATGTGTGTACTTTTGCCATCTCTGTGCATTAGTATGACGTGAATCTGTTTGTTTAACTGATAACCTGGGAGTTTTAAGAACTTTCCTACTTTTCTAAAGCTGCTTTAGCTGATCTGAGGCACCCACCTTGATGCTGTTCTTAAAGATGTACCCAGGGAGGGAAAACCCTTTCTTCCTGTCGATTGGCTCACTGAAGATGGCCAGCTGCTCAAACAGGAAGATCCGTCTTTCTTTGGCTCGGGACAAGAAGCCACTGTCCTGCTCGGTCACAGTGAAGGTGTCCTGCTGCAGCAGTTTCCCCTGGGCTGTGATCTTACCCTGGAGCCACAGCAAAGATAAACACAACAAACCGAGGAAGTGGTTACAGTTACAGGCTAGATAGTTGGCATGAGAAATGTTTTGAAGACTTTGAAGGATGGTCTTACCTCGAAGCCTTGTAGTCTGCCCACATTCATCATGTCGTTGCAGCGTTTTGGCACGAAGCACATCACTTCCACTGCTTTCTGTTTAAAAGAAAAAAAGTGAGTTTATTAGCAGGAATACTCATAAAAGGCATAGCTTTGCACACTTTAAACCTTATTTTTAGGAATCAGGACACCCACCTCCAACTCCTCCGTGTCCATCCCGGCTTTGGTGTAATACTTCAGGAAGTCCTGCTCAAATAAACACAGCATGGTCACCAGAGCATTCCAGGTTTACTGCTCAGAGTAAGGTATGGACATCTGGATGAGTATTTATGGGGTTGAACCCACCTTTCATTTGATTGCCAAAGTTCAACTTTTTATATCAAAGAAACGTTTTATAACAGGGATGTCATTTTATGATCCTCTTCAAAGACTTTTTTGACGTATTATTGCTTAAATATTACGGGAAGAATCTCATTATGCAATTTGCCTCTTCCTCTCTGGATGGAAAGTAGCCTGAAAGCAGCCGGTGTGTCGTCACTGTTCCTGCACAGTGGGGTGTGTGTGCGTGTTTGTGTGCGTGCTTGTATGTTTACAATGCTGTGACAGACCAGCTATGTGTCAGACAACTGCACAGTGAACAGCTGTGTGTGTGTGTGTGTGTGTGTGTGTGTGTGTGTGTGTGTGTGTGTGTGTGTGTGTGTGTGTGTGTGTGTGTGTGTGTGCCCTGCTTTTCACCTT